GGATTTCCATCTCTTGCAACCAATAGATATGGATTAAGGCAACTTCTAAAAAATATATGCTTTTTTCCATTTTCACCAATCCTTGTGAGAAAAATTAGATATAAATTCATGTAAACTTTCCATCTACCACCAAACATTGGCAAGTTCTCATGTAGGACAGTTAGGTAGTTTTCCTGGACACACTCAAATTTATAACAGATTTTTAATTCTTCAAGTACAGATTATCATCCAGAAGAAAAGTCAAAGTGTATGCTTAAGTCTTTGATAAGAACAAAGAGTGCTAAGAATAAGTTGCTTAATGGGAATTAATTTTCCTTTTGAATGTACTTTACTACAACTTTATTACCTAATTGGAGGTATTATTTTCACACAAAGCTCTGTTCTCATTCATAACCCAAAAACCTATTTTTTCTTAGGTTGAGAAACAAGCAGAAATATTTTTTCTATTTTCTTGGATTTAAAAAGAAGAGTCATAAATTGGAGAGGTTGGTGGCCTGTATTCGTGACTTGTACAAACTGCTTCTACCTCTTCCTGAACCATCAAAAGACAAATCATTGTTGAAAATAGTGAGGTTGTTGGTAGGCCACTTAAGCCAATCCTGAAAATGAGTCATTAGATTTAAACCCCAGGAAGTGAAGACTCAGAAGATGAGGAGATGGGCTCATGACCTCCTTTTCCATCCTCATTCACCACAGTAAAGAAAGAAAACTCAACACGTGGATAAACTGGAAACCCTAGAGAGGTCCTAACTTCAGACCTACTCCTGTCAAGGTAAAGAAAGCGAACAATGAAGTCCTTTAGTCTTTCTTGGTTTCCTCAAAGAAGTGAGCCTGTCTCATGGTTCTGGTGATAATTCCAAAAAAATCTTGGATTGGTGAAGCAGCCAACAGCAGACATTTTTAGCGGTCTTAACACTCAAAGGCTTGAAACGTCACTTAAAGAAAATGCAATAAGTCTCTGGGAAAATAGTAACTGTTTGCCTTGGAATCTTAACTGTATTTCTGCAAAGTTAGGTGGGCTTCGGAAGTCCTGGAACCCTGTTTTACAGAGTAATACTCCTTTTTTTCTTCCCCTTTAGTCATTTAGTGAAAAATTACCAAATAGGATGTTATAAAGCTCTAGGACAAATCAGAAACTATTTGAACTGGAAGAGAACTTAACCTATTATCTTTCTAGATGAAGAAAGAGTGACTCACTGCAGTTCTGAGACTTGCTCAAGGTCTCATAAAGGGCTAATAGTTTTTAAGGGTGACTCAGTCACCAGGATATACTGAAATATTAAGTATTTGTGACAAATTCTGCCCACCAGCCTACATTAGTCTTAAAGTATGTGCTTTGGGATACTGGTAAACAGATGTTCTGTGCCCTGATTTTGCTAGACAAATGAATTTGAGAAATAATATGTTCTGCAGCTCTTCTTGGAGGATACTAATGACCCAGATCCTATAGTTAAAAAAAAAAAAAAAAGATTATTTATTTATATTTATCAGAGAGTTTTCCCAATATATTTGACCAAGTAATCCTTATTCTGGGGACACCCACCAACTTGAGTAGACCAAGTTTTCCTTGTGGGAAAGACTGATATATCTGTTTGATGTCTGTTCTGCCACATAAACTCAAGCTCTTGGGTACATTTTTAACTTTATTCTGGGTTTTATTGGGCCAGCTTAGATTTTATTTAAAATGCTAAATTAAATATTCTACTGAGGGAGAATTTCAAGCATATTGTTTCTGGTATTTTTACAGCACAACTTAGGAAATACCAAAGTGCCATCACTGAATGAAATTTAGCATGTGGTTCTTGGAATCAAACAATCCGACAATTAACTGTGTGAGTAAGCTTGAAATATGAATCCATGAGTCAGGATGACGGAGCTAGCTCTGCATGGGTGTGCCTAGCAGACTAGGAGTTATTAGTAACCCTAAGTGGACCTATTAACCAACACTACTACACATCTTCCAGTGAAATTGCTACATCTCTCCAGGACTCACCAATTCAAATGCCTTCAGGCAATAGCAAAAATAAATAAAAATGCAGTAGAGAGTGGTAGGGACCATGTTGAAATGGTGAGCGCTTGATCTCTAAAAGCAAAAAAAAAAAGGTTTTATATTACATCTTCCAAACAAAATTCATTTGGGGACTGAATTAGTTATACGGAATGTCAGTGTGTAATCCCTGCCTTCACCTTAAAAGGGCAGGCAAGATTAAGTAATAGCAGCTGGAATGATCCTAGAAAAGAGTGGCATTCTCCTAACTAGTAAGATTAGGGACCTGAGTAATTGGCTTATCAACATAATGACTTATGATTCGTGGTTACCATTCATGAGCTTTATCTTACAAGCAATATGCAGATTTCCCATTTCCATGAAATTGGCAGAGAGGGAAGTATATTTAGCATCCAAACCTTACTGATCATTATCAATTCTTTTAATGATTCAGAAGACACTAGAGGAGGCCAGCAATGTTTCTGGGGCATCATGTTCGTCAGCAGTCTCATTGTACTGGGGAAACTCAAAGGGAGTCACAAACAGTGATTTTTCATTTGGTAGTACAAGTGCTAATAAAGAGTTTGCTGTGGCGAGGTTAGACCTATAGGGTTTGCTGGCAAATCAAAACCCCACAACTTAAAACAAAAGAAGATTGCTAAAAAGTGACTGAGTTGTTGAAAATCAGTGATCACATGGAAAATTAGAAGGAGATGGGCTTATTTAGTTTGTAAGAATTGCCGGGAAGCTGATACAGAAAGCAGGTTTTCAGAAGAGGAGTGGTTGTTATTGAGAGGTAATATCTTTTTGGAAGAGGTTTTAAATTAGGATAAATATCCATCATCAGTGACGGTGAAAGTGCTTGCCTTCCTGGAAACGGGAAGACCCATGATCCACGCAGGTTTCGTTCTGATTCAAGGGCATTACTAAACCTTCTTCCTCTAAGACTTTCAGAACATGGAAAAATCCATTTGTGAGTTCCCTAAGGGCAATGATGTTTTTTCTCTGGCCTCAGAAAAACTCCCACAACGTCTGCTGAACTGTCCTGTACCTAGAGTAGGCACTCAATACACACAGACGTAATATATCCCCTGGAAGGACAATAATACTGGCTAGCATTGACCGAGCCCTTGCTATATACGAGCAAGGCGCTGAACTGGCTCCTTTATATACAATGTCGTTATTCTTCTGGCAAACCTTGTTTTATAGATAAGGGGACTGGACCCCTGAGCGGGTGGGTACCTCGTCCAAGGTGACATTACAAAGTTATAAGTGACAGGGTCAGGATCTAAAGCCCATATGCTTTTCAATGTACTCTGTAACTTACAGATATGAATTTGTAAAAATGGAGATATCTGAAGAACAAGTGGGTTTTGGGACGGGTGGCTGGAATCTATAGAAATTGTTGGATTGTGTTTGGGAAGACATAAATCAAGAAGAGATTTGAAGAAAGAATGAAATAGGGGTATAGAGAGGGGAGGGGGCATTACAGATAGAAACGGCTTAATGCCATCCATCCTTATCTGTGCTTTAAAACCAAATAATGCAAATATTTGTGCCCAGGAGGCTGGGAGCCCACTGAGAGCTTAGCTTAAGAGTGTGTAGTGGGTTGAATAGTGTCCTCCCCAAAATATGTTTAAGTTCTAACCTCTGATACCTTGGAATGTGATCTTATTTGGAATAAGGGTCTTTGCAGATGTAACAAGGTAAGAATCTCCAGATGAGATCATTAAGCCCAATGATCAGTGTCCTATAAGAGACAGAAAAGAAGACAGAGAGACCTGGAGGGGAAAGCCATGTGAAGACAGAGGCAGATATTGGAGTGATTCGTCCATAAGCCAAGGCGTACCAAGGATTGCCAGAGCCACCAGAAGCCAGGAGAGAGGAATAGAATGGATGTTGCCTTGGAGCTTCCAGAAGGAACCAACCTTGCTGATGCCTTGATTTCAGACTTCTGGCCTCCAGAACTATGAGAGGATAAATTTCTGTGTTTTAAGCTACTGAGTTCAAGATAATTTGTATGGCAGCCCTAGGTAACTAACACAGGGTGCCTATCAAATTTCTTTCTGTGTACCTGCTTCCTATAACTCTCAGGTTTCTCTCAGGGTTTCATCTTCGGAGAAATGGTCTGATCATGGGGAAATTGAGCTGGATATTCTGGTTTGGGAGCTAGAAATGTGTCCCTGAATGTGGCCTCTTAGGTGGCAGCTTTTATGTTCTCACTGTGGAATTGTCTAAACTGACTCTACAAAACAAACCATTAGTTTGAATTCCTCAACTCCCTGTCTTGATTCTTATTTAATTCCTTCTGTGACCTAACCTTAAACAATTCATCCAATATCAGTTTCTTGGTCGGTAAACCAGGACTGCACCATCAGCTGCTTTATTCAACCATTGGCCAGAAAGACTGAGTAGTCTGCATTTAAGAAACACTGCAGGGGCCAGCCCAGTGGCGCAAGCGGTTAAGTGCGTGTGCTCCGCTGCAGTGGCCGGGGGTTCACCGGCTCAGATCCTGGGCGCGCACCGACGCACCACTTGTCAAGCCATGCTGTGGCGGCGTCCCATATAAAGTGGAGGAAGATGGGCATGGATGTTAGCCCAGGGCCAGTCTTCCTCAGCAAAAAGAGAGGAGGACTGGCAGATGTTAGCTCAGGGCCGATCTTCCTAACAAAAAAAAAAAAAAAGAAGAAGAAGAAGAAGAAAAAAGAAATACTGCAGACAAGAGATATCCTAAGCCCAAGAAGCAGGTGTCATGGCTGCTTCCCAGTTCTCCTGTCCCAGAGGTAGTTGCAGACTCATCCTTTGGTGTTAAAGAATTAGTGATGATCCCCCATAAAGGGTTAATGTTCTGGCATCAGAATGTTCCAGCACAGACTCATGATGCGATATCTCAGTGGGCACCAGCAGCAAGCCTGCTATGGAAACCAACCCCCAGAGCTCTTAGAAGATGCTCTGAGATATACCTTTAGTGTTGCCACAGATTCAAAACACACATCATGGGTCTGTAATGAACTGAATCCCTTTCTCCCAATGGATAGATCTACCTAACCAATGCTACACTAACAGGTTCCCATGGGTGAGAGGCACTCATATACACTACATAGATATGAACAGGTATGAAAATGAACTATGTCCAGCATATTAGAGATTCCGGACTGTGCACTGTCCAAAGTCACCTACCGTTATCACATCATTTTATTTCCTGTTCCACTCTGTTCTCATGGGGTTTAAACAAGGTGTTATTCCTGCAGTATTTCATCTCTGCTACCTTTTGAAAATATCTGCTCTTGCTGGTAAAGGGGAGAAATGTTATGCTTTCAGCTAGTGAAGAAACAGTGCTGTTTCCACTCTTATTAAGGCTAAAAAATCCCTATTTATTCACTCATTCAAATTTTTCAGCTGATGATTATCAATAGCTTCTTTGTGCAGCCCTCTTTCAGATATTGGGCAGAGGGCAGTGACCATAACAGACAAAGTTTCTCCTCGTGGAGCATGTGGTCTGGTGGGGAGAGATTGACAACATACAAATAACAAATAAATGTATAACTGTCCAGATCGTAATAAAGGGCTGTGAAGACAAACCAGGCAGGGTAGGTGGGCAGAGGTCGGTGGGTGTCTTAGTCAGCTCAGGCTGCCATAAAAAATACCATAGACTGAGTGAGTACCATAGACAGAAATTTATTTTCTCATAGATCTGGAGACTGGGAAGTCCAAGATCAGGATACTGGCTGATTCAGTTCCTGGTGAGGATTCTCTTCCTGGCTTGCAGACAGCTACCTCCTTCACATGGTAGAGAGAGAGAGAGAGAGAGAGTGCACTTATAAGAACACTAATCAGATTAGGTCCCTATTCTTATGACCTCATTTAACATTAACTATTTCCTTACTCCAAACACAGTTATATCGGGGGTTAGGTCTCCAGCATATGAATCCTGGGGGGACACAATTCAGTCCACAGCAGTGGGATGACAGAGGTTGCTATTTTATGTAGGATAGTCAAGACAGGCTTCACTGACATTTGATCTGAGAGCTAAAAGAAGTGAGGGAAAGAACCTTGTGGATAACTGGAGAATGCTTTCCAGGCAGACAAAAAAGCAAAGGCAACATCCTGGAGACAAGAATATGCTTGGACAGTTTGAGAAACAGCTAGGATACCAGTGGGTCTGGAGTGCAATGGGCCAGGGAGAGAGTGCAAGAAGTTGGGCTCAGGAGAGGCTGATTGTACACCACTTGGTAGATCACTGTAATACAGTACTCTGAGGGGAGGCTCTTGGTGACCATCTTAGAATGGTTGGAGGCAGTACCACAACTTGATAATTACTAGTGTTTTGAAGGACTTGGCTCTTTGTGGAGCACGGGGGCCAGAGAAGGAAGCAAATGTCTACTCAGACGCTGCTTGAGTATGACTTGACTACTTGGGTAGATATGCATCGAGACTTGCTTTTTGACTGAAGGAGGAGAGAGAAGAGCTTCTGTTCTGTTTTGTTTTTGTTGGTGGGTGTCCAAGAGTGAGGGAAGAGAGGAAGAGAGCGACTCAACCTGTACATTCCCACCACCACCATGAATAGACTGTGAGGCTCTACAGAGAAAGAACACGGGTGAGAAGCTAAACGACTGAGTTCAGGGAATCAGGAAGACACTGATTCTATAAGTACTGCTTTAAGATCTCAGTAACAGAGTGTGGAGGGCTCAACCTCCCTGCCAGCATAGCCCACACCCCTCCACACCTATTTCAGCTTTGGCCTCCAGTGTAGAAGTGCCTAAAAGAACAACAAGTGTGGCCAGAGCTCCAGGCCTTTATAACAGCAGGAGAGTGAGGGGTCTAGGCAATGAATCCTGGTCTTAGCTCTGCATTGGGGAGACAAGTTTGAGTGGCTGTTTAAAAACCTTTTTGTGAAAATGAAAATTTTATTAAAAAAATTATCAATGGCATTTTATAATCCTAGCTCAGAATGGAAATCATGAAATTAATTTGTATTTTACCACCTCTTATTTCCAGAAATATTTTTATTGTTTCCTGTCCTAGAAATTGCAACGAAATGGTCACAAGTCATTATTTGTTGATAGATGGTCATAATTTGTTGCTAATAACATGCATACCATGAAACATTTTTCTTTGTCTGATTCATCCAATTGTTTAAAGCCTTCCTGATTATATTACTCAGATTTGTAGACTGCTGCCACCTGGGTACCAGGAACCTTTATGAAAACTTCAATTAGTTCCTTCCTTTTAAAGGATGTCCAGGCACCAAGAGAAGATAATTACGTCATGTTGTGTTTCCAGTAGTATATAAATCACATAAAAGTAGACAAGAATGATTTTTACATTAGTGATATCTATGGGTCCAAGATTTAATTATGTATATATGTCAAACTCGCTTGTAGGTTGTTCTTTCTAAGAATGGTTTCACTGAGCATTCCCTATCCCCTGTCTTCCTGGTGAGGAGAGGCTCTGCAATGTACTCTCCTTGATAGATGAATGGTGTCATTTGGGTGGGAAACTGAGGATGGGGGTGTAGTCTTGCCTGTGCCCAGACAAAATGCATGTAAGGAACATTGGCTTTCTCTCTGTTTCTCAAAATTGTCAAAGTTACTCCTACCTCAGAGTCTTTGCACATGCTGTTCCCTTTGCCTGAAAGCGTCTCCCAATCTCCAAAGGGCTTGGCTATTCCCATCATTCCACTGGGTGCTCAGGTGCCACCTCCTCCAGAGGCTATCCTTGACCCTCATGTCTAAAGTGGATCCCTGTTGCTGTTGATCACGTTCTCCTATTTTATTTTCTTCACGGCACTTATAACTATCTGACATCATTGTGTTATATATTTTCTTTTCTAAGCTGTTGTTGACTGAGACCTTTTATACTATTTTTAAGTAGTTGACTTAGGTTCAAAGTTGAGAACAAGTAAGTTTTTATATACCCCTGAATTCTAGAAGTCGCTGTAAAAATTCAGGGCCAGGCACCTCCCCTGGGTCTAACTAAATAGCTACAAAAATGGCCCTGTTACCCTCCACAGATTGTGGGGAGCTTCTGGAAAAGGAAGGGGAGAGGGAGAGAGAGATAGGGAGTCGGGACCATTGGCCTTGTATAATGGTGGGAGGTTACTTCCTCCACCCCCACCACCATCCTGCCCAGCCAAGTGACCCTAGAATCTCCAAGAGGCTGTCCCTAGAGTTGAGGGTATTGACTGAGGGGAGTCTGGCATCTGCTTCCTGAATAGATGATTGACTGGCTGCAGAATGGGCAGGTTCACCCTGGGGCAGCTATCTTAGTGGAATGGAGTGCAGGGAGGGAGTTACTATAAGAGTTTAATAAGTGTTCTCGGGGTCTGGGCTCATCAACAAACACAGAAAGTGTTAACTGCTTCTCACCTGGAATTATCTGAAGGTGGGAAGCTTACTGGAGTAGATGGTGCCCAAAGTGTGGGTATGGACTGTGGTCTGGTGTATTGGGATGACTGGTATTTCCTGTGGCCCTTATGTGCCTGGAAGAGGAGCTCAGGAGTTCCTCTTGCTCCAGGTCAAGGAGCATAGCAGTTCAAGGAGAGCACAGAGTTCTAGTCCTGACCAGGTGACAAAGGAGGTGATGCCTACCTGGAGAATGTTGGAACGGACTCAGTGTCCCAAAACACATGCCCATGGTCTATGTTGGGACACCATCATTTGCAGACTACTTGGTCTAGCAGATGCTTTGCTAATGAAGATTTATAAAACCAGCTCAGCTCAGAAGTAAGTCATGGTCATGACAGGAGGTTTCAGCACTATGCCATCAGCCGAAGCTTTATTTGTCTAAAGCAGGATGTCTGGTCACTTCCTGGCATGCCTTGATGACCATTTCATTGTTTGAAAGGAATTCTAGACATAGTATGACATGTGTCCAAGATTTTACTAAAGCAGATATTTCTTAAATGTGAAGAAAAGATTCTAAACAGAATTATAACTCAAGAGGGAAGGGCATTTTTAAAAGTGCATGGGGCAGAAAAGGAAGTCTCTAAAACAACCCAGATAGTCCCCCAGGGAGTTCTCTTTTAAAGTGAGTGTACACTTTAAAAGGTCAAGTACAAAAAAATTGAATGAACAAGAGATAACAAAGAATGAAAAGCAGAAGAATGTATTGTGAAGGCTAATGAATGGGTTCAGTTAACACTTGTGAAAAGGGAAGGAAACAAAAACATCATATCTATTCTCAGAACAGAATATGAGAAAAATGGCCCAGAGCAATGTTTTGGCAAGATGGTACAACATTAGCAGGTCAAAGAGGTTAGAATTTCCTTGGTCCTGTCTTCTTTCCATCTCTTTGACCAGAGTCCATGAACATCAACCTGGGTGAGTATGGGAGAAGCATTACTCAAAGAGATCTGAATTTTTCATAAATGGAGAGATTTATCATGTTCCTGGATCAAAGAGGTAAGTATTCAATTCTTGCCAAAGTTATCTATGGAGTTAATAAAAATCCTAATTAGAATCTCCATTGGTATATGTTCTCCAAAACACGTATTCAAGAATGATTGTAGCAGCACAACTCATTATAGATAAAAACTGGAAATAATCCAGCAGAATGTGTAAATAAATTGTTGTGGATTCACACAATGGAATACCATACAGCAACGAGAATGAACAACTACAGTGTACAACATGGATGAATTTTGCAAACATAATGTTGTGTAAAATAAGCCAGACACAAAATAGTACATACTGTGACTCCATTTATATAAAGTTCAAAAGCAGGCAAAACCAATCTATGGTGTTGGAGGTCAGGATGGTGGCTACCTTTGGGGGATAAAGACTAGGAGTATTACAGCCTCTTGATTTGGGAACCAGTTGGGGAAATATTAATTTTGTGAAAATTCAAGTGTACCAAGTGAGTTGTGTACTTTTCTATATGTATGCTATACATTAATAAGATGTTTACATTATCTACAAGTAAAGAAACATTTCCATGGGATTTTGTTTTGGAACTTGACCAAATTTGTCTGAAGTTTATTTAGAAAATTATAATGATAAGTGTGTGTATTAGTCAAGGCTCTACAGAGAAACAGAATATATATATATATTATTTATTATAAGGAATTGACTCCGGTGATTACGGAGGCTGGTAAGTCCCAAGATCTGCAATTGGCCAGCTGGAGACCCAGGAGAGCCAGTGGTCTAGTTCCAATCTGAAAGTCAACAGGTTGAGACCAAGGAAGAGCTGATGTTTCAGTCTAAGTCCAAAGGCGTAAACAAAACAATGTCCCAGCTCAAAGGCAGTCAGGCAATGCAGCTCCCCTTACTCAGCCTTTTTGTTCTATTTAGGCCTTCGACTGATTGGATGAGGCCCACCTGTACAGGGAGGACAGTCTACTTTACTCAAGTCTACTAATTCAAATGTTAATCTCATCCAGAAACACCCTCACAGATATACTCAGAATAATGTTTGACCAAATATGTGGGCACCCTGTGGCCCACTCAAGTTGATATATAAAATTAACCATCAGAAGTCCACCCTTTATCAACTTGGCACCCATACACATCTCCTTAAACCATACTTAACCTCCAAGTAAAGACAAAAACAAGGTCGTAATTCCACTTGACATGATACAATTATCCTGTGTACAACCAAAATACACTAACCCCTTCCCCAGAAGGAGAGGCATAGTGCTTGAGTGAGGTTTGCTTTTCTCCTTGATATCCTATAATTTAGATACTATGATGTAAAATTAACAATACTTAAGTATTGTGATATAGAGTCAATACATCTTATGTCACATGATAAGGGAATAAGAGAGGGAAGAAAAAGATATCTGATGTATATATATTAATATACACACAGACATATTCATAAGAAAACAAGCAGAAAATACTCATGACAAGTACAGTCCTCATTTCTGTAACTGGTCATGTGATTGTAGCTGGTATTTATAACTATTTCTTCTACTATCCATTCTGTATTCCCTTTGCCTCAACAGACATATCAGCTGGTCATGGTTCTTTACCTGAGGAGATGACCCAACTCTTCATTCCTGAAGAGTCTGGACCATTAATAGTCCTATTTGGATTGGGTTGTTGTAGTTTTCCATTGACCTTAATCACATGGCATGGTAATACTAAGAGATACTCTAAGTGATCTCCTGTATACCTGACATACTCTTCCTTACCTCTATTGTGGATTTGCAGTCCAATTTCCTCTGGGTAGTCAGGCTCAATCATCCCAGCCAACACAGTAACTCCCTTCTTTGCCTGATGATTCAGAAGCATGAGGAGCCCAAAGTGGCTGGGAGGCAGTCTTAACCTCCAGTTCAATGGAATCATTCTTGTGTCTCCTGCTGGAAGCATTTCTCCCTTTGGAACTAAGACCTCTAGGCCAGCAGAGCGTAAGGTCACAGGAACAGGAAGCAAAAATTTTGCTAGTGGGTCACCAGGGATAACAGTGAGTGGTGCCATTTGCATCTTCATCCATTGATTCCCGACTTTGAATCCTGGCTATGAGAGATATAGCACTATACACTGGATGCTGATTCAGAACATATATAGCCTTCTGGAGAACTTTGCCCTAGCCCTGCAAGGTATTGCCACACTGTATACAGCTAGTGCTGTAAGTGTGTCTTCAAAAGGCCATACTACTGTTCCATCAAGCCAGCTGCTTCATGATGATGGGCAACATGGTAAGAAGGGTGAATTCCATGAGCATGGGCCCATTGCTGCACTTCATTTGCTGTGCAGTGAGTTTCTTGATCAGAAGCAATGGTATGTGGAATACCATGACAGTGGAAAAGGCATTCTGTAAGTCCACAGATGGTAGTTTTGGCAGGAGCATTGCATGTAGGAAGGGCAAATCTGAATCCAGAGTAAGATCCATTCCATTAAGAACAAAACAACATCCCCCTCCGTGATGGAAGTGGTCCAATGTAATCCACCTGTTATCAGGTAGCAAGCTGGTCATCCTGGGGTAATGGTGCCATATTGGGACATAGTACTTTTCTCTGCTGCTAGCATATTGGGCACTCAGCAGTGGCCATAGCCCGGTTGGCCTTGGTGAGTGAAAGTCCATATTCTGAAGCCCATGCACAACCTCCATCTCTGCCACCACGACCACTTTGCTCATGAGCCAGTTAAGTCATGACAGAGATGGCTGGGGAAAGAGGCTGACTGGCATCCGCAGAATGGGTCATCTTGTCCACTTGATCATTATTAAATCCTCTTCTGCTGAGATCACCCTTTGGAGAACATTCACATGGGACACAAATATCTTCACGTTCTTTGCCCATTCAAGGAGGTCTGTCCACAGACCTCTTCTACAAATTGCCTTGTCACCAATCATGTTCCTTCTCATGTTCCAGCTAAATCAATGCCTACAGCCCATGAACCAGAATATAAACACATATCTGTCCATTTCTCCTTCCAAGCAAAGTGGACAACCAAGTGCACTGCTCAAAGTTCTACCCACTGGGAGGATTTCCCTTGACCACTGTCCTTCATGGACGTCCCAGAAAGGGGCTGTAATTCACAACTGTCTGCTTTTGGGTGATGCTTGCATATTGTGCAGAACCATCTGTAAAATAGGCCTGAATCTTCTCTTCCTCTGTCAACTGACCATGGAGAATTCCCCATGAGATGCAGAACGGGAGAGAGAAGGTAGCGTAGCAGAAGTGCAGGCCATGGGAATTTGGGCCATTTCTTCACGTAGCTTATTTATGCCTTCAGGGCCCACTCAGGCCCCATCATGTATATACCACTTCCATTTGATGATACAACGCTGCTGTGCACACCCAACTTTATGGCTTAGTGGGTCAGATAATACCCAGCTCATGATGGGCAGCTCAGGTCACATGGTAACTTGGTGGCCTATGGTTAAGTGTTCAGTCTCTGCAAAGCCCCAATAGCAGGGCACGAGCCATTTCTCAAGAGGAGAGTAGTTATCTGCAGAGGATGTCAGGGCTTTGCTCCAAACCCTATGGGCCTGCACTGTGATTCACCTATAGGGGCCTGCCTAGGATTCCAAACAGCATCCCTGTCTGTCACTGATACTTCAAGCACCGTCGGATCTGCTGGATCACACGGCCCAAGTGGCAGTGCAGTTTGCACAACAGCCTGGATCTGTTGTGAAGGCTTCTCTTGTTCTGGGCCCCACCCCAAACTAGCAGCTTTTGAGTCACTCAGTAACTGGGCCTCCAAACACACCCAAGTGAGGAATATATTGCCTCTAAAATCCAAAAAGGCCCACTAAGTATTGTACTTCTTTTTTGCTTGTAGGAAGGGCCAGAGGCAACAACTTATTCTTCACCTTCGAAGGGATATCTCGACATGCTCCTCCCCACTGGTCCCCTAGAAATTTCACTGAGATAGAAGGCTCCTGAATTTTAGTTGGATTTGTTTCCCACCCTTTGACATGCAAACGTCTTACCAATAAGTCTAGCGTAGTTGCTACTTCTTGTTCGCTAGGTCAGCATAGCATCATCAACGTTATGGACCAGTGTGATATCTTGGTGGTGGGAAAGGTGATCAAGATCCCTGCGAAGTAAATTATGACATAAGGCTCAAGAGTTGATAAACCCCTGAGGTGGGACAGTGAAGGTGTATTGCTGGCCTTGCCAGCTGAAAGCAAAGCATTTCTGGTGGGCGTTATGGACAGGGATGGGGAGAAAGGCATTTGCCAGATTGATAGCTGCATACCAGGTACCAGGGCATGTGTTAATTTGCTCAAGCAGTGAAACCACATGCGTTACAGCAGCTGCAGTTGGAGTCACCACCTGGTTAAGCTGATGATAATCCACTGTCATTCTCCGAGATCCATCTGTCTTCTGCACAGGCCACATGGAGCTGAATGGAGATGGAGTGGGATCACCATCCCTGCATCTTTCAAGTCCTTGCAATCCCCCCAGGAATGCAGTATTACTTTTGGTTTACTATTTTCCTTTGTAGAGAAAGTTCTAGTGGCTTCACTTGGCCTTTCCCACCATAATAGCCCTCACTCCATAGGTCAGGGAACCAATGTAGGGATTCTGCCAGCTGCTGAGTGTGTCTTTTCCAATTACACACTGAACTGGGGATATAACCACAGGATGGGTTCAGGAATGCACTGGCCCCACTGCGAAATGGACCTGAACTAAAACTCTATGATCACCTGACCTCCTTAAGCCCCTACTCTAACTTGTGGACCACAGTGACACTTTGGGTCTCCTGGAATCAGTGTGGGTTCAGAGCCAGTGTCTAGTAGTCCCCAAAAGATTGGATTATTTCCTTTTCCCCAACGTACAATTACCCTGGTAAAAGGTTGTAGGTCCCTTTTGAGAAGGCTGGAGAGAAATTAACAGTATAAATGTCTGGCAGTGTATCAGTCTTTCTCCAAGGGCCCCCTGCCTTCCTTCAAGGGGTTCTGGGTCTGTAAACTGGCTCAAGTCTGGGAACTGAATGAGAGACTTGGCTCTATGTTTTTATGATTCAAGTTAGACTTTTGTTCACTTAACCCAGAACTTTTCCCAGAAATTTTCTTCTTATGCAGATCAAGTAAGAATTTGGTAGGTTTCCCATCTAGTTCGTTTCTGGGAACACCACCATCAACTAGCCAACACTGTAGGTCTGCACGAGTCAGACTATTCCGACTGCTGTTTGACTCTTGTCCATTACAGTAACCACGCCCACCTTGCCCTTGTCAGTCAACTGTTCCACTTGACCCTGCCATCCCAGGCTTCCAATTACCCCCCTACTGCATTTAGGTTTCCCACTTCAGTGACCTAAGTTCCCACTATAAGGTCTGGACTACAGAGAAGAGGTGATCACAGAGCCCTTCAAGGATGGTGGAACTCCCCACATGAATTTATTTTTCACAGTAGTGGTGAAAGGTGTGTCTTCCGGACCACCCCAGTGTGGTTGAATAGGTCTCAACAAATCCACTCTAACAGTCTCAGCCCTGTGGCTGCCAATTAGGGTCTTCAGGGCGCCTACAGAAGCTTTCAGATCATTTATGCGCCACTTCAGCTGGAAATTCAAATCCCTGAGCTCATCTTTTTCTTTCCTCACTTCATCCATCAAAATGAGGAGCAACCAGCCAATCTCACTATATCTGTCAGTTTGCCAAAAATGTTCAAAAGTATTCGAAAATGTTCGAGTGTTTGAAAGTACAAAAATGTTTGAGTGACACTCCACAGTCCCTCAGGTCCTTGCGCCTTGTATGTCGTTGATTAGAAGTATTAAATGGTGATATTTTGCATACCCCTACTGCCAGATCACATCGTGGACAATTAGTGTTCTCTTTACTACTGGGAATAGAGTCATACAACCACAAGGAATCAAATTCTGTAACAGCCAGTGAACTTAGAAGGGGATTCCAAACCTCAGAGGAGCATCACATTCATACTGACACTACAGAACCCTTACAGTCTTGTAAAATTCTGACCCCCCAAAACAGTTAGGTAATAAATTTGTGTTGTTTTAAGCCACTAAGTATGTGGTAATTTAATCTATTGCACAGCAGTAGAAAATTAACACAGTAAGAACCGCTTAAAGAGTTTTGAAAAAGAAGAGTATTAAGAAAGGATTAAAATTCACTTTACAACTTTGATAATCAAAACAGTGTCATTCTTAACACTGAAAGGTGATGTAAAAAAATCACCAGAAAAGAACAAGTAGTTCTGTAACCAACTGAGCATGTGCATATATAGATATTGCATCTAATATAAAGGAATGGTTTTCAATAACATTGTTGGGAAAATCGACTAAATATCTGAGATGAAAATTAAATTTACAATCTTATAGCAACGACAAAAATGTTAAAGAGTTAAATCTAAGAAATGAAATT